GTTCAGAAAAACTCGGAGGGCCAAACATCACTTCAGTCTTTGATTCATTCAAATGAAGAACATTTGCTGCCATCCATTCCTTAATATCCTTAAAACATGCAAAAAGAGACTGTAAGGCCGAATTATCCCCCATTTTTATAGGCAGATAAAGCTGTGTATCATCGGCATAAAGATGACATACATTTTGTTTTTGACAGATAACAGCCAAAGGAAGCATGTAAATAGAAAATAATGCTGGACCCAATATTGATCCTTGGGGAACCCCACACTTCATCAGTGCAGAAGAGGATGAGAAATGTCCTAATTCAACAGAAAAAGTTCTCCCTGAAAGATATGAACTAAACCAGTTAAGAACATTACCTTGCATCCCAGCCCACAGTCTTAAACGCTCAATCAGTACTTCATGTTTTATAGTGTCAAATGCAGCTTTCAAATCAAGTAAAACTAAAATTGCACACTTTCCCGAATCAACAGCCAAAAAGAGATCATTAGACACTTTAAGAAGGGCCGACCCTGTGCTGTGCCCTAAATCCTGATTGGAACTTATCAAAAATACCATTTCCATTTAAATGAGTAGAAAGCTGTTGAAAGACAACCCTCAAAAAAAGAGGTTGCACCACCGCATGCTTAAAGCAGGATGGCACAACACCACTCAGCAAACTGTAGTTCACTATTGACAAAAGATCTAGGCCAACCACGTCCAATACCTGAGTAAGGAGACGTGGAGGAACAATGTCCAAAGAACACTGAGTGGGCTTCATATGGCAAACTAAGTCCACCAAATCAGGTAATGATATCAGTTTAAACTCATTTATATAATGTACTAATGAGGGTGGGATGATATAATCAAGGATAGAGTCTGGAGGCAGAATACTAGTTCTAAGAATATAAATTTTGTTAATGAACTCCTTGAAAATTTTCACACGTTGTCTGACCGATATCAAGACCAGTAGCTATCTCAAAATTGGACAATGTGTTTGAAAGATACAGGTCAATTAGTCTAAATAGGTGTTGAATTAGTCGAATCTTTGCATTGATCTTTTTGAGAACCCTTGTATGATTGCAATTATGCACTAAAAAGCAAACACTTATTATACAGCCACTTTGTGTCCAATGTATGTGTGGATGGAATTTGTAACAATCCCAACAAGTGCTCAAGATTTCCACGACTTCCCTTTGCTGACAGAGATGAATAATCATCATCAAAACAGTACAAATACCTAATTATTTTACAGAGATTAAACATATTTACTAGCAATTTATGAGCAAAAATTGCTTCAAAGTAAATCTAGACCAAATTTCTTTAAGTGTAGAAATGTCTTGGTCCTGTGGACAAGTTTGACTCTTTTTTAACCCAAAGTATCATACTTGTATACAAAAAGAAATCGGCAGCATTTTCGTATCTTTCCAGAAGACAAGATTACGACAGTGAACAGGTTTTAAGATAGAATTCAAAACCTTTATTACAAAAATAAGTTACACTCACCTCATTTTACAGTATAAAACAATTTATTTGCTGGAATGCAAAAACGTTGTTGGCCACCAACAATAGTTTAAAACTGCTCACACATCTTTTCAAAAGGTTGCAATGTTACATCTTTATCGAGAGGGAGTTAACTGTGTACAAAACCGGTTGAATGGTTCTGTCACCTGCTTGCTATATACGGAATATAAACTGAAGCTGCAGTATCCCTTTTTCTACAAAAACCAGTTCATCTCTTGCCTGCGAACGCAAGCTCGGGAAAGTGGCAAGCACCAATATCGATTGTTCGTCTAAAGTCATGATTGATTATAAAAACTACACAATTCAATGTTCTTCGACTGGCGTTCGCGAGAACCGCCCGGCGTTGGCAGAAAAAAGGACACTGCAGGGCTTAGCAAATGCAGCGGATGCATTTGTGAAGTTTAAGCCAATACAAAAGTAACATTTTATTCCAAACTATCATACAATCATACACCCAGTAACTACATAATCTGAAGCAGCAAGGCAGCTAATTCAGTTGAAAGGATGATAAAAGCAGGGCTTGTTCCAGCTCATCACATGAGATTCATTTGCATGCCCAGTTTTACTGTTTGCAATGTCAGAGCAGCAGCGGATTGACTACATTACATTAAGAATATCTGCTGCCCTTGTGCATATTTTCATAAGAAACAAGCCCTGCTCCTATGCTTCGACGCGTCCCTATTTACAGTACAGGCAGGGTAGTTGAATCCTCTTTACTG